CACCCTGCTGTGAGCACTGTGTGTACAGTATTAAGGAAGATGAAAAGGGAACCCAGTTGGACACTGTCCTCAGAACCTTACAGTCTCTTGGTCGGTCTTATATAAATGCACTATGAGTTTAATAACTACAACCTAAGGAAAATGACAAATATAAAAACCCTGTTCATTTGAGAGATCCAAAAGCACTTCTTGGAGGTGGCATGTAGAATAGGTGGTAAAAGCATGCAGTATTTCCAAAGGCACAAGTAATTGAACATCCCAGATAGATGGGTAAGAGCAAAATAGCATGAAAGGAAGGATCATAAATGATGACAAGTGACAGGAGTAGCTGGGCTTTCTGAAATCTCATTTGGCTTGCAGACAAGGTTACCTTGCATATTGTATTTGGTATTTGGTGATCATAATGGCAGCCTCCCATAGGATTGTCTTTTCTGGACTGACATGTAAATGATTGTGGATTTCCAGATTCTGCATCCATCACTGGCTATGATTTGGATACGATTTGAGTGTTTTCTCCAAAGGTTTGTATTCTTGGAAGCTTGGTCCCCAGTGTAGTGGTATCAAGGTGGTGCGACATAAGGGGTGGGGCTTAGGAGGTTAGATAATTGGAGACACTGCCCTTGGAAGGGGTTAATGTGGTTCTTGCAGGATCCCTGTTACCTCAACAGAAAGCTGCTATAACAAGGGCAAAATTGTTCTCTGAATTGCTTATCCTTTCTGTCTCACCTTGTGACTGCTCTCACCCTTTCACACGTGCTTCTGTTATGATACCACTCACCAGGTTGAGATGGTGCCAGAAGGGCCTCAGGGGCCACCTGAGCTTAGACTTTCAGTCTTCAAAAAAATGTGAGCTAAATAAACATTTTTTTTGTCTTTATTTTGGGGGAGAAGCTGGAGCTAGGAAAAAACTCTGGGGTTTGAACCCAGGGCTTCACACATACTAAGCACATTTTCTACCACTGAGCTACACCCCCAGCTCAAACTTATTTTCTTCCTAAAGTTCCTGGCCTCAGGGATTTTGTTATAACAACAGAAAACATACTGATACATTGAATGATAGTGAAAACTCATATAACAAAAGAAGTCATTCTTCAAGGATAACATAGAGCCACAATATAGGCAATTGTTACCCATGGCTAAAAAATGACAACAGGAGACAGACTGAGTTTTCCAGAGTTTTAAGCATAGTAACAGAAAGAAGCCTTATTTGAGCAGGAGGAAAAAGTCAACTCTAAGCCAGCAATATCATTATAATCAGTAACAGAAAAGAATGTAGTCAGGTGGTGGTTATGTTTCTCTTCCTAGTGCCTTTCAGCCAAGTAAATATAAAATGCACTACAGGATACTCAAAATATATATAAACACCCCCAGTGCTAAACCTGGTGTGAAAGAAACAAAATGAATTTTGGGCTTCCTTCCACCTCCTCTACAAGAGACTTTCTACACTCTCAGGAATCTCTTCCTCAGAATCTGTACTTCCCCATGTACACATACTCTCCACACTCAATTTTTTTTTTAGACTTTCAAATATAAACACATAATAGTGGCTTTTAGTTCAAGGTCTTTTTCCTAAAGCACACCAAAACAGGAACGCATTTTAACCCTACTGATTTCTAAACTTGCCTTGCAAATTACACCAAGCAATTATAAGAGAAAGATTTTAATTTTTAAAAAGGAAAATAAAAGATAAAAGAGAAGCAGCTCTGTGCTGTATCTGAAGACCATTTTCAACAGCTTTCCTAACTGTGACCAAAAGACTTAATAAGAACAATATAGAGGAGGAAAAGTTTACTTGGAACTCATGATTTCAGAGGTCTCAGACCATAGATAGCTAACCCCATTGCTCTGGGACCAAGCTCATGAAGAGCACCATGGCAGAAGGATGTGGAGGAGGAAAGCAGCTCAGTACACGGCAATCAGGAAGCATAGAGAGAGCTCTGCTCACCAGGGACAAACTGTATACCCCAAAGGCAGCCTCCAGTGACCTACCTCCTCCAGCCACACTGTACCTGCCTACAGTTACCACCCAATTAATCCATATCAGTAGATTAATTCACTGATTAGGCTATGCCTCTCTTAATTGTCTAATCATTTTGCCTCTGAATATTCTGGCTCATTTTCCCATGTGAGCTTTTGGGGGACACCTCATATCCAAACCATAACAAGCACTATGGTAGGGTTCATGCTGTTTCTAAGGCAGTTGAGACACTGGTCCATAGGGCCAACTGCATATAGCCATGATCTTTCCTGTTAGTATGATATGTTGTCACACACTGTGTGGTGGCTCTTTCAATGGAAATCACTTGGTTCAGGGCCATGTGTTTAGCAATATTCCCTAATAAAAGTGGTTGGGGAGGTTGCCTTGACTCTAAGGCAAAGGTTCTCAACCTGACTTGGAATGGCATGGCTTCTATGGACTGCAGAACATCCATAAATGCCCGGAAATTCTGTAACCGTGATTGCATTTTTCTGGGTAGGATTTCCATTTTTTTTTAATTATTATAATCATTTGCTTTGTTCTTTCTAGAGAATACATTATCTCCAAAATTAACAAGATCTCTGTTCCAGGGAAAGTGCATTCGTTTTTTGGAGATGTCATAACAAAATACCACAAATTAGGTAGCTTAAACAACTGAATTTTTTAAAATGTATATTCCTGGTGGCTAGCACCTGAAATTAAGATGTTGACAGAATTACTTTCAACTTAGGGCCCCGAAGGAAGGTTTGTTTCCTGGGCTCATAGATGGCCATCTTTATGTTCTCTAGGCCTTCTTCCTCTATGGGCTTCTCAGTCTGCATCTCTTCTTTTTATAAGGACTCCAGCCATACTGACATAGGATTCCACTATAGTCCAACGTGACTTTTTCCCCACTAATCATATACATAACAACCTATTTCAAAATTAGCTCACATTCTGATGTCCTGTTGGTTAGAATTTCAACATATGAATTCTGGGCACACACCATTCAACCCACAACAGAAAGCTTGAGAGTGGAGTATACGATGTGTGTTCTTTCACCCCATGCACACATCCCTGTCCTCTGGGAAGGCAGAGAATATCAATAGATCTAGGAGAATGATGTAACTTCTTGTTAGGATGGCCTCAGGCCTGAGCCTAAGCAACTCCATTTTGAAAACTCCAGTTTGAAACCTGCTGTCTCACCAGGCACATCCAACAGAGCCCTCCAGTATGGCCTCAAACAAGTTAATTCCCCTCACCCTGATAAACAGAGTGAAGCCCGTGATAGGCTGTCCTCACCTGATAAGAGATAAAGGGGAGAAGATCAGGGTGGAGACCACCAGACCAGATGTTTCTGACCCCAGGGTAAATGATGTCACTGAGAAATCTGATGGTAGCTGATAAAGATTGAAAGGGAGGTCAAAAAGCCCCAAAATTTAGTATAAATAATAGAGTAAATGAACAGGGATTCACCCAACTGAAACAAGTATACACTCCAGATAGGGAGCCTAATGAGGACCTGACATCCCATCACTTGTCATCCTTCCTGAGCCTCTGCATGATCCTCACTACTCTCAAACTCTACCACCTCATCTGGACCTTGGTGAGAGCTGGAACTTCTCTCTACGATCCTCTCCTCAACCTGTCGTCCCCTCCACACCAGGAAAAGCCTGCCTTGGTTATGGACCTGGTCACCTCTGTCTGAGTGAGTGTGCATCTGCAGGACATAAAGCCTAAGGTTTAAGACTTTTGAACTTAGTATAAAGAGGAGATGTCTGTCATTAGCCTATCACAATTAAGTGTGTTTTGTAGTGCTTAGAACTAATCTAGAATTGTTGGCTGTGAATTAATTAGTCTAGAATTGTTGGCTGTGAATTGGTTATGTCTACGGCAGTGCCTAGCATTAAGGATTGTCGTTTTCTTGATTAAGAACCTAGAGAGTGAAATTGTGTTGAGTAATTTGAGTGAATAAAGCATTGAAAGGGGCAGAAGCGTGTGGACATTCTTTGTTTCTCTCCTCTACTGCATACGTTGCAATTTTGCCCCCTCGAGACACTTCGGTATTCTAACATGAATATTATGACATTAGTCATAATATATTAAATGATTTCATACATAGGTTAAATTATTTAGTATATGGGTTTAAGGGATTTAACGCTGTAAATCTAACAGTGCAACGCCTGGCACATAGCATGTGTTAAACTTTCCATCATTATTCGTATATATTCACTGATGGTCCCCTATCTCCCCATCGTTCCCTTTCACTCATATATGACCCAGATACCCTAAATTTATGGGCCTACATTTCCTGTGCTTTAATCTTTCTCATGATCACAAGTGGAAGCCTTCTCAGGAGCTTGAAACATCTAGAATCCCATATATTTCTTATTTCCCAAAATTTAGCAGGCACCTTTAACTCCAAGGATAAGCCCTTTATGGTCATTCTGTGGGTAGTGCCATGAGGGTTATGGTCACTCTGTGGGTAGTGCCATGAGGGTAATGACACGAACCTGAGCTGATGAAGGAGAGGTCAGTAAAAGGCCTTGAATCCCTCTTCCTACAGCTCTCCCTATCCTGAGAAATGCCAAGTGTGCATTTTGATGTCTGAGAAAGCAAATGTTACTTTTTTTTTCTTTTTTGCTTCCTTTTCCTGACTCAGAGGTAAAATTGATTCCATTTGACCAAAATTCTTTCTATCTATTTCTTCAGAGGAATCTTGGCCTCCAAGCACAGTTCACAATTGTTTTTTTTTTCTTTTATGTTTCCAATTGTACTTGGTTCCTGTAACTTTCTGTGGTGATTACTATACAGTGAACATTTGTACTCTTTCCTTGAAATTGTATTTACCAACTTCAATCTCTTGCTCTAGTTCAAAGATGAACCGTTGATAAAATAACTCTTTTGCTTTATAAACTAAACTATGTTTCCATGTAAACTTTTTTTTATTCTTTTTCTTTACGTTTCTCTAAATGTAGGACGGTACCTCAGAAACCTCCTATCAATCCCATTATAAAATAATAAACATTATCTTTTAACTTACTTGACAATTGTTGAATTTCCACTATGTCCTGGAAAGTGTATCTGTCACCAAAGATACAAAGAAAAACAAAGCAAGAACTTTTGTTTCAGGAACAAATAGCTACTAGTTGTAATTGTGTCACTCATTGTGTGAAGATTTGTACCAGAAATACAAATCACACATCTAGCCAAGTAGCGAATCTTACTGCATAGCTGAAGCCCTATTTGTTTTACTATCTGGACTTATTCATTCTTAAATATTATTAACCATCTACAATTAATGTCCAGGCAGAGTGACCTGGCTTCATGAATAAAAAGGTAATTGGGACACAGTCATAATAACTACCAATATAAAGCTCTGAGAAAGCAAATGTTACTTGTTCTTTGCTTCCTTTTCCTGATTCCAGAGATAAAATTAATTCCATTTGACCAAAATTCTCTTATCTATTTCTTCAGAAGAATCGTAGCCTCCATTATTATTATCACACAACCATACTAACTGTCAATATAAAGCTTAAATATAAGGTACTTTAATCAAATATTCAGTCAATTTAATTTAAAATTTTAATTTCATAACACATGTCAGGAGGAAGAAAAATACATGCTTCTGTGAGAGCCCCTCATAGTCAACTTCCTTGGGTCTGAAGGAAATCAGAAAGGGGCTCCCAATAGAAGAGATATTGAACTAAGATCTAAAGAACAAAGGAGATTTTTTAAAGTCCAGTGTCATTACTGCTTCTGGCAATACAAACAGACATTTTTCCTCTATTATTCATGCTAAGTACAAGGGGAATTCATGGGTATTATATATTAAACATACATCAGAAGACTCTGAAAGGTAGGCAGGAGAGGACAGTCCTTCTAGAGACTGCAGGACTCAAGGCCCAGAGACCCAAGCCCAGGTCCTTAGCCTTTCTTTTTCCATATCTCCTACAACTGAAGAGTGGAAAAAACTCATGACCAAGAAACACAATAGTCACAAATAAAAATTCTCAACAAAAAATTCATCTTTCCAGTCAAAGGATGAGAAAAAGGAGCAAATAGCAAGGCACAAAATATAAATTATTATCAAGGGCTCTAATCAAACATCACAGTAAGATTGTGTCCTTGTCCCTACCCATGGGAAGACTAGACCTCCAAAGTACCCCCAAAACATCTGCCAGGGTGGTGTCAGGGCAGCCAATCCAAACGGGAGGTAGAATTCATCCCCACTAGGCAGTGAATAACCCCTTCCCTAGAGTATCAACATAGATCTCAGAGATGGCTCAGACTTGCACGGCACCCTGGAGGGGAGACATCCTTGTAACTCCCTGAACACAACTAAGATGTCTCTTTAGAACTTTGATATTTTTCATCAGTGTGGGTAGTTTAAACATACAGTTTTTTAATATGCTGTTCAGATTTATACCTATTTCTTGTTTGGAACAGTGGTACTGTTTTAACTTTGTATCCACACATTCAACTGATAGAATATAGAAATAGAATCACACTTCTATGTTCTTTCACAATCACCCAGAGAAAATGAGGCACACCCACTGTGGTGTCAGCCCTGCCCAGCAGCAACAAGAACCTCCCTTCACATGTCAGTGCAGGCTGTGTGGGGACTGGAGTTCTATTTCCACTTGGAAGAATGAGGCTGCTTCATCCCTCTCTTTCCACTACTTCTGGAGTAAGGTTATAAGGAAGAAACAAAGAAGAAGATTAAGAGTCTCCAGACATAAAGGGAAAAATGTCTAAGATTTATTGGAAAATCTGTAGTTATACCAAGAACCAGGAAGATCTTAAACCGAGTGAAAAAGGCAATTGATAGATGTCAACAACAATAAGAGATGTTAAAACTATCTGGCACAGATTTTCAAGCATCTGTGATAAAAATGCTTTAACAAGCAAATACTAGCATGATTGTAAAAAAAAAGGAAAACAAAAGAAAATTTCATTGAGTCATGGTCTTAAGAGTTCAATAAAGAAATAGAACATATTAAGAAGTACCAAATAGAAACTTTAGAACTGAAAAAAAAAACACACCAAAATGTAATTGATCTAAAAATTTCAGTGAATGGGATCACCAGCAGAACAGAAGAAATAAAAGAAAGAATCAGTGAACTGGAGTTAGAAATGTTGAAATTATACAATCTGAAAAACAAGGAAAAACACAGATAAAGAGCAAACTGAAATTTAAACACACATGGAACTATACAGAAACCCTAATATTTATATCTTCAGAAGGGAAGGGAATGAGGACAGGACAAAAAATGCTAGAAGAAATAATAAAGAAAAAATTTGTAAATTTAACAAGAGACTAAGTCTTCAGATTCTATAGGCTGAGTGAGACCTAAACAGAAGTAACCTAAAAAAAATCATGTCAAGAAATATCATATATATGCTTCTGAAAGCATCTGAAAAGAGAAAAGTCTTGAACACAGCCAAAGAAAAATGACATCTTACCTTTATAGGAAAAATAATTCAAACAATAGCAGACTTCTCACTGGATATCAAAGAAGCCCAAGGAAGTGGCACAATATTTCCCAGGTGCTGGGGGTGGAAGAGAAACATGTCAACTCATAATTCTATATTCAGAGAAATAACCTGCAAGAACAAAGAAAAGTCAGCACTTCCTAGATGAAGGAAAACTGAGAATTTGGAATATGAAGCAGGACAATTATTGCATGCTACCAGTTGAATATGTGGACACAGAATTAACACAGTACAATTTACAATTGTTTCAAAACATGAAATACACAGGTATAAATCTAACAAAACATATAAAATTCTTGCATGTTTAGACTATCCACACCTATGAAAGAAATCAAAGAGGTAAGCCAATAAGACATATTATATTCTTATTAGAAGACACAACTTAGAAAAGATGGCAATTCTACCCAAATTTATAACAAGATCAATGCAATTTCCATAAGAATACAAAAGAAATATTTTTGTAGATATAGACAAGATTATTCCTTAGTTTATATGAAAAAGCAAAGAAATTAGAATAGCTTAAGATTTTTTGAAAAAGAAGAATAAAATGGGAGGAGTCCATTTACCCATTTCAAAACTTATTATATGGCTACAGCAATCAAAGCTATTTGGCACTGACACACAAATAGACACATTTATTAATAGAACAGAACAGAGAAAACAAACAATGCCCAACTGATTATTAAACCAAGTTTATAAAGAAATTCAATGAAAGATAGATGGTCTTTTCAACAAGTAGAGCCAGAGCAATAAGACATCCATAGGCAATAAAGCAAATCTTTACATCAGTCTCTCACCTAACAGAAAAGTAAGTAAAACGAAACAATAATCTTCAGAAAAATAATAGAAGAAACTCTTCAGGTTCTAGGGCAGTCTGAAAAGTTCTTAAACTTGACATCAAAAGCATGATCCAACAAAGGAAAAATTGACAAACTGGACTTCATCAAAGTTCTGAGTTTTACTCTGAACAAAGACCTTTTATGAATATGAGAACAACCTGTACACTTGGAAAAATGAGAAATTATACCCCATTTGATTCAAATGTGTGATATGTCAAGATCATTGTATTGTCATGAGCAACTAATAAAAAAATGTTTGTGAAAAGATCTTGACAGATGAAAATATGTACCTTATGTACCCAAGAAGAGCCATTTGGCTGAAATGCTGAGTAAGGAGCATATATCTAGGTCATGGGGCCGGGAGAGAAATAGATACGTAAGCAACAAGGTGCAAAGTGAATATGGATAGGTAGGTGTACTGTGCAGAGCTATGTGGACCATCTTAAAGACTAGTCTTAACCCCAAAGCGCAAGGAGTCATTACATTGTGGTAAGCTGAAAATGACTGAATTAGAATTGCATTTGAAAAAAAAACAACACAAACTACAGTGTGGAAAATGAAAGAAAGTGGATATCTCCCCACTATACTGCTCACAGTTCTACTACCAGACTCTAGCTAAAGAGGTTCATTCCCTAACAGAAGAGCTGCCTAGAGAATGATTGATTAATCAGTCTCCTTGAGCTAAATTCTTCTCTGATGCATCTGAGAAAATTCCCAAAGAGCTAAAGAGGAGAAAACATTTGAAAATTGGTTTGATGTGTTGACTTTTTTAATTCATCAAGCAGGTAAGCATGATCAAAAACAGCCAGAGCAATCTTCATGACCTCTACCAAAAGAAAGGAAAGTCTTGCTTCAGCTTCCAAAATTAATAATTTCACAGAGACATTATAAATATTGATGGTAATAGGTTTCTCTGTGGTGTTTGCTAGAGATTTAATGCATTTAGATACAGTAAAAGAGTTGTTCATGAAAACTAATAGAATGTGAAAAATGATGCTATGTACAATGTATTTTGCCCTGATAGGTCACCTTCTTTCCTGGAACCACAATGAGTACCACTAAATCTTAGTCTCAGGATTCACCACCCAACTAGTGTATTTTGTTTTACCTAAGGATTCAATCCATGCCAATGATTCTAAATTATGATTTGTCTATAATAAGAAACCAATTGGTTTTTTCACATATTCTTTAAAAACCTGTCAGAGTTTCTTTCCCCACTGCTTTAAATTAGCATTCTCTTATGTAGCATCATAAAGATAATGCCTAAATGGACAACTGCTGATTCCTCAAATGATCCTTTACTGAACGCCATTTATTTTCATGTATATCATGTCATTTCATCATTACAATGATGCAATGAAGTCTTCTGAGCAGCCTATTAGTTTATTGCAGATTTTGAAAGCTATCAAACCAGATATTATAGCCAGGATGGACCTGCACCTTTGGCTCCAAATATTGAACCACGAACCATAATGGACTGTGGAAATCCTGAAATGTGCATCTCTAAATTGAAATATATTGTAAATGTAGACTACATTATGCATTTTAAATATTGATTTCAGGCTGAAAAAATATATATTTAGAATATATTGAGTTAAACTAATTGCTATTAGAGTTAATTTTACTGTTTTTCTTCCCCTTTAAATTTTAAAACACACATATAGCTCAAATTGTATTGCTCTTGGGCACCAGTGCCCCAAATCTTGACAACTGTTATCTCCTGTATGTTTGTGAAATTCATGCTTTTCTTTCCATCCCTACTCCCCACTCCCCAATCTAGAGTTCTTATCTTTCTCTTAGAAAACAAACCTCCTCTTCTCATATCAGTTTTATCATCATGGCCCCCACACATGCTGCCTTTTATTGCAGCCAGAATGATGTTTTTTAAACTGTAATTTGATGATACTACTTTCTAAATTTAATTTGTCCCATTGGGAATTCTCATGGCCTTTAGAGTTAAGAGTAGCTTTCTTACAATGATCCACATAGACTTTATGTTTCAGTTTTACTTTTATACAGCCTCTTCTCTGCCACTCCCAACCTGCTGAAAGTTTCATAATATACCATGTTTCAATCATCAGCACTAAATGCCTGAAACCTCAGCCCCTTAGTCAATTTGTGTTTGCTAGATGGATATGCAGTTTTTTTTTTCCAGAAGTTCTACATGACTGTGAATGTGTAGTTTAACATGTCACTCACTAAGTCTTGAAAGGTTCCACATAATTCCACCGTACTTTATATATTCCTTACAATATGTGAGTGGCAAAATGGAGAATATATAAATTGGTATACTTTTCACTCATTTTTTTAGTGTTCATATATGTGTATATATACATATACATATACATATATACAAACACGTATATATATATGTATATATATATATATAGGCATGTATACGTATGTACATATATATGTATGTATGAAGAGATAGATAGATCTCCTTAGTGTTCTCTATTCTGTATTCATAAGAGAGGATGTTTTTATTGGTTTCAAAACATAGTAGATGCTTATTAAATATTTATTAATTTTAGTGAAAAGAAATAGCTAAAGCAATTAATTATTAATTCTGAAGAAGAGATTCTGATGAGTTATTCAATAGTTCTAAATAAGTGAAAGAATTTTAAGTAGATGCCAATAAATAGCTGTTCTCCAGTTTTGCTAAGGACCAAACAAGAAGTAATTGAATGCAGCCAGAGGAATTAAAATGTCAAAACACATTGAAAACTTTGTTATCCAAACTTTGCCAACTAGAATATTCTAGAAGCCAACATTTCTGTTATCTCACAATATAATAGCTTAAATGAAGACAAATTAGGATAGAATTATGTAAATAATATGGAAGGAGCACACTACTGTTGACATACCTTGTTTACTGATACGATTTGGAGTAACACATTCATTTGATCACTTGTTCAGAATATTTTCCCTTTGTGATTAAGATGTGAAAATTGTGCCTTTTAGTTTTTCTTCTTATAAAAAATAATTAGAAAGCTAAGGAAACCTAAGATCACCTTAGCACATCAAAATTGTTTATTAATTCATAAGCCGGTAAATATTCCAGAAACTAAGTCTTACTGCTTAAAAATATCCAGTTAAACTTTGTAAGCAGAAAAAAATTAGGTATGCAGTAAGGGGTTAATACACATTAACATAAGATCTTTAATAAAAGGTCTTTGACTTTAATTATTGTCATTTCCTTAATGAGCCTTTGTTGTGCATGATCTATGTGCCCAGTGCCAGCTTCTGGAGGGAGACACTGCCCCTTGCCTCATGAGTTACACTCCTGTTTAATGACACCTCTCAACATATAGAACAAAATATTATTGGAAGGACACTGCCAATTATTAAAAATATGTAATGTCAAGTGTTATTATATTGATACTTCCCAAAGAGCTTTCTGTAGAAAAATATTTCTTTGGAATATAAGGATATTGTTTGGGGACTGGGGACATGTTTCACTGAAATAACAACACTTAAACAGATAAAGTTAAACAAATTGTATATGTTTTTCAGGGCCTTTGTTTTTATTACATTTTATAAGTCATTATACATTTAACGTGCAATACTTACTATTCAAAAGGCTTAACACTGGTAATTTATTTAGTCCTGAAAGTAATCTCAAGAGACAGACATTTTTTTTCTCCTTCTGATTTACAGATGGGAAGACTAAGATTCAGAGAAGCCTAATAATTTGCCCAGTTTCAAACAGATTCAGAATCTGCCCTCTTAATGATTCTTCTATACTACCTCCATAACTCCTCATGTATTTTAGATGGAATTCTATACGCAAGATCATCAAGACTTATTTGATTGTGAAATACATTCCCTACACACACACATACACACACACTCACACACACACACACTCACACACACACACACACACACACACACACATTTTTATTTGGTAAGCTATTTTACAATAATAGTGGCATTAAACATACCCTAATAAATGTTCTACATCTGTTAGATCATTGCTCCAGCTTCATCTCAAATTGTTCTTGGTTTCTTCTGTATTATTTTATAGATAAAATTTCTTGTAATGAAGGTATCAAGATCAAAGGTGAGTCATGTGACCAGAGACCTAACAATAGAATTTTAGTGTGATCATTATTTTTAAGAAGTGTCCTTAGGGACTTGCATCTGAACCACACAACAAAAAGGATGGCAAACAAGAACTAAACATGAAGAGTGAGGAAAATTATACTTTCTATT